TTAATTTATTTTTTATAATTATTTTTTATTAAATTTTTATTAAATTTTTTAAATATATAGATTGCTCGCAACTCTTTTACGGCAACTACATGAAAGCTCACAAAAGGTTGCATATGATACGTTTTTGCATCAGAGCAAATATATAAATGATGGTATAGATGCAGGTTTGGAAGAGCTGCAGCTAGTATGTTCATGATTCGCATTTGAACTATTTGTAAAGCAACAAGGAGTTCTTGCAAAATCAGATGTCTATAAGGTGCTTGAAAGTAACAGTAACATATATAATGTAATAAGAATTGATGATAAAACTAGCATAGCCCATATTGTATATATTGGAACACCTAGTGTTTGCACGTGTTTATATCCTTAACGAACCAGAACTCTGTGTAGACACATAATTTTGGTTTATTTATTGTATTTACATACTTGTGTTCCCTCAAGTGAAATTCACTAGCATTGGTATGTGAAATATAATGAAGAAATGAAACATATGGCCTATACACATGTTATACAGATTTTTGAGCAGATTCCAAAGTTTCATCATAATAATTTTATGGATTTAATGCAGCAAGTTTCTGATTATATTGTAGAATATGAAAATATACCAGAGTTACCATTATAAAAAGATAATATCTTGCATGAAAGTACTTTTGAGACAATTAATATCAATAGTATAACAGATTACAATAGAATTAAAATGCCAGCTGTTAAGCAAACACGTAGCTGGCCACAAAATAATAAGCATATTCATAGTAAGGATGAGGACAAGGATAAAGGATCTTCAAAAAAATTTCTATAAGACAAAAATTGGATACGAATAAGGAAAACATAATTAATGCATATTCTAATCTACAAGTTCCTCAAGATATAATATTACATGTGCATAATCCAATCTCAGATGGTTACTGTGGGTTTAGGTCATTGGCTGTGGCTTTTTTTAAAGATGAAGAAAAGTAAAAAGACATTAAGTTTATGATAAAAAGCCAATTAATTAAATATAGAGAGTTATATGGTAATATACTTGGATATGATATAAACCATCTTATGGCTGTTTTATCATATCTAGAACCAATGTGTCCAATGGAATTCTGGTTTTATTCTCTGAAGTGTGCACAACTAGCATCAGATGCATTCAATGTACTAGTCATAATTTTTGGTACAAATCCCACAACAAGCCTTTTTTTTTTTATCATATAATTAGAAATCTGACCGTCGCAGAAAACCTGTTATTTTGCAATGTTATGAACACAACCATATCGTACTAGTTCAACTCAAGCCAAATAAGAAAGTTCAACTTCCACCTTTAAACCCACAATATGTACCTATTTGCGATCGGTTTGATTATTCCAAAGATTGGCTTATACTATTTTTATAAATTAGCATTATTTTTTGATTTGCTATTTGCTTTTGTACAGTATCTATTTGGCTTTCTTTTGCTTTTAGATTTACATAACTCATGTATAGCATCAGTTTTTGATATTTTATATGTGGATATTTACTAAGTAATTAGTATATCTTATAAGGCAAATCTTTTATGTATAGAACGTGAACTTTAGGGTATAAGTATTATCGTTACATATTTAAAATTTCTTGATCAAATGTTTTTTTATTGATTTGTAAATTGCATGCTAAATAATATATGTCACTGAAGTTAA